TTCTCTGGGCACCCTGTGCCAGCACCTCAGCACCCTCACAGGGAAGAGCTTCTGCCTCAGAGCTCATCTCAATGTCCCCTCTGGCAGGTTCAAGCCATTCCCCTTGTCCTGTCCCTACATCCCTTGTCCAAAGCCCCTCTCCAGGTTTCCTGGAGCCCCTTTAGGCCCTGGAGCTGCTCTAAGGTGTCCCCTTCAGGAGCCTTCTCTTCTCCAGACTGAACCAGCCCAGCTCTCTCAGCCTGTTTGCCAGGACCAAGTTAGCAAAGAACGTTCAGGAAGCAGCATCCAAGCAGGAGGGAAACAACTCACTCCTGCATTTACTTCTCCCTCCTCCACATTTGCAGCTGCTTCTGCCATGGAGCAGCCTCTGTCTTTAGTCCGGGCAGTCAGCTCCTGGGCACTGCTGTGAGGTATCCATGGCCGGGCCACTTAGCACTGATCTCATGGTAGGTTTTGACATGCAATTGTCAGGGAAGAGTCAGAAATAAACTCCATCCACATCCGTGTCTGCGAGGGGCGGGTGTACAGGCAGTGGTGGTCCCCCAGGAGCAGCACCCCAGTGTGGTGGGGTCCCAGCATGGTTGGAGATGCTGGAGGAGGGAGCAGTCACTCCTTCCCGAGGGCTCTTCTACTGTCAAAGCGTTGAGGTGTTCTCACAGAAATCCATAAAAATAGCACCTTATTGATGTCGCTGTGGAGCCCTGTGCAGACAAGTCTGGCTTCCCAACCTGGGTGCGTGGTTTGCAGGAGGCAGGGGGAGCAGAAAGCTGCAGATTCCTGCGAGTGTGGTTTGGTTCAGATCCGCCTTGGGAAGGAGCTGGCTGCTGCTCTGGAGCCGCCTGTTTCCATGGTCCAGAACAGCTGCATGGTTTTTTGATGTCTTTGAAGGAGTTTTTTAGAAGATAGGAGTGGAAAAAATGTGGAAAGGAAGGGAAGGCCCCGGAGGAGGTGGAGAGAAGCATGCTGCAGTGCTCGGCAATGAAACAGGCACTTCGGAGGCTGCCTGCAGACACTGACACTGCAGTGCTGGGAGCGGGTGAGAGGACAGCTTCCCAAACCCTCTGCGGCAGGGCGGGGGGGCTCCCGGGGCTCTTCCCCACCATGGCCAGGAGAACAAGCCACCTCCTGTCCCCCCGCACACCTGGGCAGGCTCCTGCCTCCAGCACTCCGTCTGCCCTTGCTGCCTGCCTGACACCCCCAATGCCACCGTTGCCGTAACTCACGTGGTTGGTTGGTGGGGCGATGCCTTGCAGCCTGCCTGAGGCTGGGATTTCTTGCTCAGTCCTCGGGGTGTCTGTGTTTGTCGGGGTCTGTGTCATGTTGTGCCCTGCTCTGTCACCTCTGTCACTGAACTGCTGTCCCCTGTGCTGTGCCATGTCACGCTTCACTTACACTGCTGATCTCGCTGCTCATGGTTCATGTTTTCCCCTTATTTCTCTTGTCCCCTGCAAGTGAGTGTGGCCCATTCACATACTGAACTCTGCTTCCCTGCACAAGTGTCAGCTTGTGTCACTGGGCTGGGGATTAGCAATAAAATGGGACATGATGTGTTCCTGCACAGCTGAGCTGGTGAGAGCTGGAATTATCGTCACTTGGGTTCACTTTTTTCCTTTCTTTTTCCTTAGATCCCAAAACAGCCACTGAAACAGAAACGGAGATCTGTGCAGAGTGGGAGATAAAGACCATTACCAGTGCTCTGAAGACTTACCTGAGGTAAGGCAGGAAAGCCTCAGCTTCAGGTGTAGTCAGTGATGGTTTGGGGTGTTACTTCCTGTAACTGTAGATCCTTTGCAATAGCACTTCAGTAGTAACAAAGGAGAAACTGCTCTGAGAGAATTGGTTCTGGGTTTTCCCTTGACCCTCCAGCATGGCTGAGGAGGATCTGGGGAACAGAGTCAGCTCTCTGGCAGATGCATGTGTTACAAATATGGTCTTAAAAACTCGTTCTTGTGTCCCCTGCCTTGGTTTGAGCTTTTCCCTAAGCTTTTCCTGATGGGTACTGCCTCATGAGCGTGGGGCAGGCGGTGAGTGCAGGGATCCAATAAGGGCTGTGGCTTAGAATGGGGTGCTGAGCTCTGCTGTAGTAATAATTCCTGTAGGCAAGTCAATGCCTTTATCGTTGTGGGTTATCTTTCCAAAGGATTAGTTTGTTGGCATCTCATTATCCACAACATGCTTCTACCTGTCATGACTGCAGCTTTGTGTTTTCTGATGCTGTTCTGTGCATTGGGTTTTATTTGAGAGAGAAAGCACAAGAGAGGCTAAATCCAATTAGGGTGATGAGGATAATTAGCTTGGTGGATCTCAGCCTAGGAAATCACTACATCATTTTTCATGATTGGCAACCTTTGCTCTGGAGTTTGAACTGTACAAAGCTCTGGGGAATACCAGCAGCAGCGAGATGTCCCGTTGATGGGATGTGGAAGTGGGAGGGGAGAATGGGGAATTGAGTGGGAACGGTGACTGTTAAAGTTTTATGATGAGGCTTGTTTCTCTTTTTAACTTATTTTTAAACTTATTTGGAACCCATGGGCTCGCTAATGTACTGAACCTCCGTGGTACTGAAGGAATGCTGAAGTTAAAAATGGATTCAGTGCGATGCAGAAAAGGGAGGCAGAATAAATCAAAGGTGCTTCAATAGATCTTATTCCTTCTGATGGGGGGAATTAATTAGAGTTGCTGTTGCTTAATTCTGCACTTTTATAAATGGTAAGGGCAAAGCTCTATTTCTGTGGATTGTGTTACTCAGATGTGTTTTGTATGTGTTACCTTTTTATCTTCCAGAATGCTTCCAGGGCCGCTCATGATGTACCAGTTTCAAAGGAGCTTCATCAAAGCAGCAAGTGAGTTTGTTGTTGACAGCACTGGTCTGAAAGAGGAGCCTAATTTGCAAGTAACTGAGCATAACCCCTGCCCTGCTGCTTCCCCACTGACCTCCCTCTCCTTCAGTCCCGGAAAGTAGGATGAGAACGGAGAGACAAGGGGCATGTTGTTGTTTGGGACTGAACGAGATGAAAAGGAAGCGCAGGTGGTGCCGGGAACGGGGAGCTGGCTGGTGGCATCAGTGCTCTGACCATCATGTTCCCAAGAGGGGAGGCTGTTGTTCAAACACCACCTACAGGGATCTGATGAGGTCGGCTGTGGTTCAGGTGTCTGTGCCACTTTCCTTTGGCCACCCTGGAGGTGGAGCTTTGCGTGAAAGCAGGTAACTGTTGGCACACACCGCAGCCTCTGTGCGTGGCTGGGACCAAGGGTGAGGAGGGCTCACGTGCTCCGTGGCCACATTAGTGATGGCCTTCAACGGTTCCTGCGTAGGCTGTTGGGACACGTCTGTCAGCACTGGTGGATCCAACCGCCACCAGATGCTGCAGCATCACCAGGCACAGTGCTGGGCACATCCTGATGGTGCTTGGGAACACATCGAATGGGAATGTGCTGATGTCGGTTACAGCCAGCCCCTTCCCTGATCACAGCTGGCTTTTCACATGGCTGACATCTGCTCTCAGCTCACTGTTTCCTTTGAAAACAACCAGTTGTGGTTGGTAGAAAGGAAAAGTGCTGTGGAGAATGTCCACCGCGTGCCTGGTGGAGCAGGTCCCCGGGATGTCTGTTGGTGTTAGTGTTCAGTTCCTGCATGCCTCTTTCCGTAATAACCCCCCTGATGCAGAAATAAGTCATCTCCTATTTCCAATGCAGAACTGGAGAATCAGGAGTCAAGGGTGTCAGAGATCCACAGCCTCGTCCATCGGCTCCCGGAGAAAAACAGGCAGATGCTGCACTTGCTCATGAACCACTTGGCAAAGTACGTTTATGACTGATATGTTTTTCTGTCCTTTTTCCACTTCCTCTGAAAGTTAATAGTGGTAGAAAAGTTTCCTTGTGTGTGTGCACGTGGTATTGAGTCATATCTGGTTGGCGAGGACCTGTAGACCTGTGTGTGAGTGGAATGAAGGCTGTGGGGTGGAGGAGTGCATGGGATGGTCCTGCTGAGCCCCAGCCTGCAGCAGCACCAGGAGAGACCCCCACGCTCCTGGGAATATGATGATGCTCTTAATGGTGTGGTAACGGGTCTGGCTGTCCAGGAGGCAAAGCAGAGGTTAGGCTCCTCCCTGGCTTTCAGATCAAGCCTAGTATTAAAGGACTAGGAGCCACTTCTTTGCTACAATAGTGTATTTCCTGCCTTTATGCAACCTGATGAATCAATCCAAGGTCACCTTGAAACTTTCCGAGGGCACAGGAATGGAATGATTTTTTTTGCTTTCAGTGGTAGAGCTGACCTATAATTTCCCATCTTCATCCTGCTCCTGCAGGTTGCTATGGAAACCTTTGATTAGTGTTTTAAAAGTGAAAGCATCATCAGGTGTTTGCGCCAGCCTCAAGGCTGCGGGGTCGTACCTGCCCTCGCTCTTCCCACCGGTGCCATGGGAGCAGGAGGGATAGGGCAGGAAGCTGAGGAATGAGTTGATCTGAATAACCGGTTAGAAGAAGGTCTGGGAGAACCTGAAGTTATCTGTTTAAGAGGAAAAATAACAAATGCTACTTGAAATAGGATTGAAAATGACTCCAGATGCTTTCTTTTGACATGGGTTTGTATCTGTTCCATGGACTCTCCGGCAAGGCTGTTAAAAACCAAAGAGCTGTTTTAGATCTCAGTTTCAAAACTTGCTTTATTTACAGGCTCAAGCCAAGGGCCAGGCAGTTCCAGGTACTCCCATCAGCCAAATATGTGTGAGGAATCTCATAACTGCTTAAGTGCTTTTCATTTAAAGGAAAACCTGGTGGGGTTTGAATGAGAGACCTGGAGAGGGCAGGCAGATAATACAATGGGTCTCATGCTGCTTTAGTGGACAAGGAACTAAAACAAAACACAGTGAGTAGGAAGAGAAACAGCTCATAGTGGTTGTTTAATGGGAAAAAAATACCTCAGAGAAAGGCAGGAAGCTGAGGAGTGAGAGCCTGCTCCATGGAGCTACTGCCCTGCAGCAGCAACCCTGGTCCCAGTGCTGTTCCTGGGGCATCCCGGGCTGTGGGCGCAGAGGAACAGCCCATCCTGAACATGGGCAGCCTGCATGGAGAAGGGGGATGCTCTGGGATGGGAGGGGAGGGGCTGGATTTCAGTGCTGTTCTGTCACTGGTGTGGGGAACCAAGAGGAGGGCATCCACGGCTAATGCTGGCAAAGCCAAAGGAGCCCTTCCGAGCACGCATCTGATTCTGACTTTTTATTTATTCTAAGTAATGTATGAATAATGATGATTTACCATTTTTCTTCAAGAACTGGAAAAGTATTTCTCACAGTATTACTGTGGAGCTCTCACAGTAAAAGCAGGACTCTATCTGTATCAGTCACATAGAGTCCATCCTGTGTCATCTTACATCTGATTTTTTGGTGTGTGTGTTCACTGTTGCTCACTGAAAAGGGACATGGGGCTCCTTATGTGGTGTGGGGCTGCGGTTAATAACAGTACAAACCCCTGCTATCACAGCTGATAGGTTCAGAAATGGCAATTACTAGCACAAATGAAATACCAGATGGGAGAAGTGCCTCTGAGGTGGTTGAGCAGTGCCCTTCCCTCTGCACAGCGGGGAAGTGCTGTGGGTCCTGCTCTGGCTCGGGGGGGAAGGAGAGCTGGAACTGGGGGAGGATGGGTCCTGGGGACAGGCACAGGCAGGGTGTGAATAGGCAATTGAGTTGATTTCTGCCTCTTGCTGCATCTCTGAGCCTGTTTGCGTTGCCTCCAGTCTGTTTGTGTGTCCTGGCAATTACTCCCTGTGTATTCCGAAGCATGAGCAATCCCTGTTCCCTCCTCAGGAACGTAATGCTGCAAATGTCCTCTGCTCTGCAGACCCTGGTTCAGTGAAACTTGCTATTATGGTGTTAATCTCTGACCCATGACTAGGTGCAACCTTTAATTTTTCTTCCTGGGACACGCTCACACTGTCAGGATGCCTGTGATAAACTCGGCTGTGATTTACTGTTCCTGAAAGAGAGGAGATCTCTTTGTTCTGATGCTTTTCCAAGGGGATCTGCAGGAAAGCCTGAACACCCGCAGTTCGCCCCTTCCCAGTGCGCCCTGTACTTGCATCTGCTGGCTCTGCCAACAGGCAGCTGGAGCCAGTGAGGCTCTGGATGATGTTAAAACCCGCCTGGTTTCTCTTGTCTCAGGGCAGAATAGCCCATGTCTTTCAAAGAACTGAAGGACAAGCCCAGCACATATCTCCTCCAGTTTCTCGTAGCTGTTTTAGTTACCAGCATCACTATTGCTTAGTCAGCCTAGTAATCCGTGGAGCTTTCTGTGTTTGCAGGGATGGCTGTTGAGAGTGCTCCTCATTCCCCGCTTCAAGGAGGAGAAATACCCGTTTTACAAAGCTACATGAAGAACTGATGCCAGGGGAGGTGCTGAGTGCCCTGGGACACTGCTGGCTCCCTGCTCCCCCAGCATCATTTCCCAGCGGTTTGTGCCCACCCTTCCCTGTGCCCATCAGGGCAGGAGCCTCGAGCTTTGCATGGTGCAGGACTCCTCTCGCCCTCCTCAGGGTTTGCTTTCTCTCTATCCTGGGATATTTTTACTGCCACTGTTCCTAGCTGGGAAAGGAGGAAATCAGCACTGCCTGGGTGCTGCAGAGCACCCTGGGTGCAGCCTGGCCTGCAGCAGTCACTGAGCAACACGCTTCTTGTGTGCTTTGGTGCTGTTTTCCTGCAGATATCCCCTTTTGGCCTGGCACCCATCTTCCAGAGAGGCTATACTGCTGTTTCCAGTGCTCTTTTATCAACAGCATGTGGCAGCTCTGATTAAACCATGTATTTTTTTCCCTGCCAAATAACTTGAATTGAAGCAGAGGCGCATGGAGCGCGCAGCGGCTGTGCTAGTGGTGCTGTGGGAAAACTGCCATTTTTGTTAGTGGGGCTGCAATATCATCCCTGTCTTTTCCTTCTTTTTTAGCAGAAGGAGCTTGCTCCGATGATATTTCAAGCATTTGGGAATTACTTGTTTTGCATGGATATACTTTGACAGCTGAGCCTTGCTTTGTTCGCTGGCAGTGAGATCCAGGTTCTCCAATACAGATGGTGCTGTGCTTGTGCCCCCTTCAGTGGGGCTCCGGAGATGCTCCTGCAGCTCTGCATCGCTCCATGCATCACTGCTGGCCATGCATTACTGCTGCTACTGCTCTGCGCATTCCCTGGTCCAAGGAGCAGGGCCTGCAGGTCCACTCCTCTCCTGGAAAAAGGTCGAAACCATGAAGGATGCTGCAGAAGAAATGCGTACGTGTGTTTAGCAGAATTATCTTCAATCACTCAGAGCTGTGGCCTGGCCAGCAGGGACTAGTTCTCTTTAGTTTTGCTGCGGTGGTGTTTTCTAGTTTACGTGTTTTAACCAACATGACAGTGATTGCTATCTTGAGCACAAATTGTTTTCCTCTTATCAGCGTGGATGTTTTCCATGGGCTCTGTGGGGTGGCTGTGATCAGCCACAGCCTGGAGATCCATTGGAACCCACCCTCTGCGACAGCCCATTGTCAGGACAGGGCAGGAGCGGGGGCCGTTTCGTTTTTTGCTGAACCAGGGGTGCTGGCAAAGGAGAACAGGATAAAAATTCCTCTGGGTCTTCTGCCCACAAATACAACCTGGTACTTGTTTTCCTTATGGAGCAGTCCTGTCCCTGGCAGCACTGTGCCGTGCTCCCGAGCTGGCCATGCAGATCCCACAGGAGCCAGGTCCTGTCCCCAGCGCAGTGCTCGCCATGGTTTGCTCTGTGCCAGCAGCCTTGGGAAACCCACCAAGGCTCCTGTGCGGGACCGGGGCCTGCGGTGTGCCCAGAAATGGGCTTTTCCTTGGTCTGTTTTCCCTGTTCCCCCCGAAGGTGCAGCCGGCAAGGAGGCTGACGCCTCTTGGCACAGCAGGTCTGATTTCATCCCCGTGGCAGCTGTTTATGCTGCTGGCTGGTAACTATTCATTGCTTGATTTATGTATTACTTCCAGTAAGTCACTCTTGTCCAGGACGTTCTGGAAATTTCCACCAGCCGCTGAGGCCTCCGAGATGCACTGCTCTCATATGCTCCTCACCTGATCTGGCTGCCAGAGGAAAATAGCGACTGAGCTCTCTGACCTTGTGTGGCCAGGCCAGGCAGCCATCCATTCCTTTTCCCAGCGCCTCTTTCTGATCCCTTTGGATTGTGGTGCTGCTGGGTTCCCGGGGAAGCCCTGGGAATTCAAGTGGACCAAAGGATCTGGGTGGTCCCTTGGGTAGCAAAAGGAATGTCACATGAAAAGTGACTCCTGTAAGGCACACTGTGCCCTGCAGGATCTGGGAGGATCCTGCCTGGGCTCATCTGTCCCGGGTCAGGCTCGTGCTGTGCTGTATCTAACCCATCTTCTCTTTTTTTCCCATTTCTTCTCTCGTTTTGTTTCTCTGCTTTGTGTCTTGGTTTGGAGCATCAGGTCTTAGCTGATGCTAAGGAGAGTTAGGATGGGTGCAGACTGGTGAGCACCGTACCAGAGCGTATGGCTGCTGAGGCGCTGGCACAGGGTGCCCAGAGAAGCTGTGGCTGCCCCATCCCTGGCAGTGTTCAAGGCCAGGTTGGACACAGGGGCTTGGAGCAACCTGCTCTAGTGGAAGGTGTCCCTGCCCGTGGCAGGGGTTGGAACTGGGGGAGCTTTAAGGTCCCTTCAGCCCAAACCAGTCTGGGATTCTAGGATCAATCAGCCTCTCCAGAGCTGAAGGCTTTGGCTGCCCCAAGCTCTGGGTGAGCAGGACCTGGAAACACAAACAGGGATCCTTCTGGTTTTGTTTCTAAAATGAAAT